GGTGTGTTCTTTGCCTTCTCTCTTTTATTTTCGCTGCACTTGCGTTTATATTATTAATTCTGCGAAAATCGGTAATCATTCTCAATAACTCTATTTACCCTGTCTCTAGAGTTGCACGCCTTGTCTAACAACAAAAATGTGTTGTTTACATACTTGTAGGAGAGACATCTTCCTCTAATGGGCCACTTAGTTCTTGATTTACGACCTTCTAATTACTCTATCGGGCCCGGATATGAGGGACCCTTGGAGTTATTCAACCTTTTGCATTAGAGAAACAAAGAAATCAAAATCACGTGGTTCACACCACATTAATGGACAACACCCACCCCCACCCCCACCCCACCCCCCCCCAACAATTTTCAATGGGTACGATGAGACAGGAGATTCTTCACCCCAATTGTTAGTTTGTGATTATGAGATTAATCGTCACTATCATAATTATTACTATCAACGAAACAAAACAAAAACAAGAGATTGATGAGAGGCATTTGTATGTATTTTGGGATAAACACAATTATCTCCCACTCTGTAATGTTGAAATTTCATATTCTTAATTTTTTTTACAATATATGTTTTACACTTTTGAACATTCTTTATCTTTTGCTTCGTTTAGGAAAAACAAAAAAATTATAAAGCAATAACTTCCAAAATAAAAAAAAATCGAGCTGACCTAAGCCCAACCCTGCCACTTGCCACACCAGAAACCCACTAAAAGAATTTTATATCATTGAACAAGCATGTATTTCACACCTCTAAACTTGTTGTGAAGGGTAAAAATTAGTATAAAAGTAACTTTCTAATAGAAAATAAAAAACTTTAGATAAAAAAAAATAAAAGAGGAAATTCTTGTTGCAAAAAGGTTGAATCCGCGTAAAAGAGAAAAATCTTTTGTTGTAGGGAGTATATATTGCAAGTTTTTTTTATAAAGTCAAGAACTTAATTTTCTTTTCCTTTACAGAGTATTTAATAAATAAGACCCATATACGAGTATATATCTTAACTTAAAAGTTATTATTACACCTTTAATATAAACTTAATTTATTAAGGAAGTTCAATATTCAGGTTCTAATTAATTCTGTACTTCTTTCATTCCACAATATTTGTTAATGTTCTTTTGATATTTTTTTGTTTGTACATTTTCATTGATCATTTGATAAAATAAAATATTATCATTAATTACTTTATCAAGAACATTTGGTGTGTTGGGGAAAACAAAGATAACACAGATCAATTTGAGAGTCGTGTAGCACTTTCAGATCGATTATTTTAGTTATTCAATCTAAAAATATCCGTATCGGATAAAACTTAAATTTGTCAAGAACAAGTATGGATTGATACAAATTTCAAACTCTACTTTTGCGACTAAGGATAAGCGGAATTTATAGAGCTGTTGAACGGAAGAAAGGTTGCGGTTGCATCTCCCATCCAAAACGCGTGTTTCTTTAAGCGAATCTGAGAAAAATGGCGCTATCCTTTTCCGAAATTTTCCTTTAAGAAAAATTCGAAAATAAAAAATTCAAATAAATTTTTAACATATCACTTTGTCCAAAATAAAAAAAATTCGAGTTGACCTACCCCAGCCAGGGCTGGGCTCTGCCTCTTGGACCCCACAGGGGTTGCCGCCGCTTGAACCCTGCTCAGGGGCAGTGCCCCTGAATCACCCCGCCAAGGGGGCGTTGCTC